TTTGAGATCATACCTAAAAACTAAAGCTCTCATAACATACTCTTCTCTTGGAGAGATTGGGGACAATGCAACTCAGTGCCATTCAGAGATCAGAGAGGTTCCTGTCAGCTCACCCGTGCGAGCATTGTAAAGACAGGTGTGATGTGGAACGCTACAGTTATCAACTCGAAGGGAAATGAGGTGACTGTCGACAGCCAATTTTCTCAGAGGAAGCTCACTTTCATCACACACCTCATTCTCTGGAGTAAACAAGTGTCTTATGAAAGGTTGAGTAGGGGGATATGACAACTTCTTTCTCAAAAACCATCATCCTGATGTGGTTGAAGAAAAAGGAACAGCAAACAATAAATGAAAAAGTGAGAGAAGGAGAAGGAGGAAAACATATCACTCAAAAAGGCCAGTGAAATTCACCTCTTGCATTATGTGACGAAGCAGCAAAGAAAATTCTAAGTATAAATGGGGCCATCTGGTGACACGTCAGTGACTGGTGAGATGGGGCTTTTTCTCTTGGCTCTTTGATGCTTTTTGGCACCCAACTTCTGTAGCATGACAGCAATCATATTCACCAGCTCCACATGCTTCCTGTGTCCAATGTCATTCACTATTCAACCATCAGAAAAACATGAGACCGTAATGAATTGCTGGCAGGGGGAAGAAATAGGGCAGGCACATGCTGCTGTTTTGCTGGGCCGCAGAAGCTGTCACTAATTCCACCAGTTTAATTTATGAGTTTTAGCCACAGCCTCTGCAATCGGTGACGAAATATAAACAATGACAAGTCGTGCGAGAAATTTGTGAATAAAAGCAAGTTAAGACTCAAGATTAAAAGCAGTACTTAAAAGTTACAAGACATGTCCCAAACTCATTTGAGGTTACTTTGCAGTGGCTATCTTAATAGCAGCGTATGTAGGTTGTGAAATGTTTTCCTTTTGTGACAAAAAAAAAGCTGCCATTGGTTGTCATTATTCCGTTTGTGATAAGGCCTGTCGAATATTGGCCAATACTAAAAATCACAGCCGCTTTACTTATGTAGACATTTTTGAGCGATGTGTTGACAGTAAACCTGTAACACAATCCTTAAATTTGTTAGTAAGATTGAGCTGTTAAATGCATAATTGCAAAAAGAAAACTGCAAGACTCTTTTCAGTGATGTGCCGTGCAACAATGCATGCATGAAAAACGTCCTCTGAATCTAGAATGATCCAGCAATTATATACTATTCAGATATTTGTCATATTGTAACAATTGCATAATTATATATTCATAAACATAAGAGTGAAAAAAAGGTCAATATTAGATCAAACCAAAAGCAGAGAGGATATAACAAAGACGGAACCGCAAAATAAGAAGAAATAAGAGCACAAAGCTATCATAGCCTTGATGGTCTTCTATATAAAGATCACAAAATATCCTTTTTGCAGTTCTCTGTTGGGAACCTTGGTTATTTCACTTTGAATCAAAGCTCTCCAGTAAGCTCACATATACTAACTAGCTGTCACTCGAGGTTGATTTCTTGATTCTCGCAATGAAGTTAGATGTAAAGAACATTCACACTTTTGTGAAGTCTTTTTGCCCAAGTGGAAAAAAAAACAGGGCACTTAGTGCTCTTTAATAACTGCAGCTCATGTGCTTTTCACAGCGTTCAAAGGATGTGCTGCTTCAGGACTTAGTATTGTATCACAGACTGATACTTTTCTTCCAATATGATGGAAAGAAACAATTAATAAAAAGGTGTTTTCCTATTTTGAACACTAGGGGTTCAGTAACAACATTCACTATTATTAAAAATAAGAAAAAAAAGAAAAAAACATCCTCTGACTCATGTATGTTTCGTGCAAGTGCACAGTATGAGTGTAAAAACACCCCCAAAAACCTCATTTTAACTGACTTTCACAGGGCCATTAGTGAGTGTGAGCCTTCACTGTCTGCAGCTGTGGTGCCCTACTTCTTAAGCAGGGCTGTGAAGTGTGAACACTTGCAATGCTGAGCAATACAACTGCAAACTTTGGATTCAGGAGCACTGGAGTGCTGTGTTTGAAGTGAACGAAATCCTATTAAATTCCTAGTACACTGCATTGTGCTGTTCCTTGTAAACAAAACGTGGTGCCCCAAATTAAAATATTCAAGGTAGCCGACTTTGTTGTGCTAATATTTGGAGAATAAGACGCCTTGGGAATTTGGTAGGCCTTGTTCGACACCTCTCTGCATAAATTTGATGTACGTAATGAAAAATATAAAGCACATTAGAGATACTGTAAGCTGAAACTTTAACCTGCATATCTCACATTATAGTGCAGTGCTCCACTCGTAAGGAATTGTAGCCTAGGTCTTAAAAGGAGAGAGGGGAGAAAGAGTAATTATTCTGTATCCGTTCTGCACTCTATTTCGCTATCTCCTCTTTGCAGCACCAAGCAATGCCTACCAGAGACCTGACAAGAATTGCCAATGATTTTGCTGCTTTACTGACAATTCCTCAGTGTTTGTGCAAGGCGATTTAACTCATCAAGGCTCTCTTCTGTGCTTCTGTTGTAAGGCCTTGAAAAGGCTGTGTTTGTGCTGCAAGGCCTTGAAAGGGGTGCAACTAAATCTCTGCAAATATACTGTGGTTGTGCTAACATTTGATTTAGTGAGGGCTGTGTGAAAACACTTTCCACAACACTTTCTCAAACATATCAATTCGTTTTTTTTTTTTAATGTGATGTGTACTCATCCTATGTCTTATATAGTTTAACACAACAAATCCCTCCTGATACTAACAAAAACCATCTTGATCCCTACATTTTGACAAAGTATAGAGGTGGAGATATGCCAGCGTAGCAAAGATAAATAGCATCCCTATTATTTTTGACTGCATGTTATCTCCCTCTAACAATGTTTACTTATGCACAATCATTCCTTATTTGCTTCACCACCAGAAATCCATATGGCCAGGGTAGATTTGTTTTTACCCATATGATTAGGGATGCAATGGCATGTAGACCTCCAGTAATTGTTGCAGGAAGGAAAGGCTGAAGGCTCCTATCAAGTCTAAGGTGAATATGTAAAATAAACTGTTCTGCAATGAATGTAAAATTCCTATTATTTTGCAGCTAGTTTAACCTTTTGATGGATTCTTGTTTGTTGTTGTTGCTTTTCAGGTGGCCTTTTTTGTAGGATTACCAGACAAGACTGGGAAATATGATGATGATGAGATTAAAACTAGTAGAGAATACAATCAAAATCTTAGAGAAGGAGAAAAAAAAGGCAACAATTGCCGGTGTCTGAAATAGCATTTGCTTCAATATCACTGTGTTAGCGCATGAGTTTGCAATAATAAAATAATCTGATCTTTGTCACAAAGGAGTTCAGCCTTGCATGGTGAACTGACCTCCTATAGATGACACAAACAATGTCTTTTCTCAAAGATAAAGAGGTGACTTGAACATTGGGACATTTTTAAATAGAAAAGCAGCATTTATCCCAGATATGAAGTCCATTTGGATGCAAAATATCTTGCTTGTCAAATACATCTGGTAATGCATTGCCATTAGCAGTTAGAGTCTTCGAATCCACAACATACCCTAAATCCTTGGTATAGTATCACACGGATAAGGGGGGGATTCAAATTCACAAACAATGAATATAGACCACATTGAATCCAACTGATATCCTTATTTCATATTAATTTAATAACAAAGCTACCTCTGCATTAAAAGAAATGTCAAATGCATTTACAAATACTGTTTTCACTGCTCATTCCAACTTGATAGAGCATTGTTTCCACATGCATCCCCATTTAAAAAATATAAATGAATTAATTCTGCCTCAGAAAAGCTACCTCCCCAGCAAAGCATCCTATCCATCCTAAGGTGTACTGTCGGCATCCCTCTTCCAACCGCAGGGAAAATAATTACTTCCCTTCACAGCATGCAGGCATTAATATTAATAAGATACCAAGGTACATTCTGCGTCCCTAACTTCTTGTCATTTGAAATGTGAACCCATGAGATAGTGCTCTAAATATATCTGCTGACAGATCCAGTGCAGTAATGAGCTTGAATCAACTGTCTGTCACAGAATGCCACCATTACTCCTCTGTGACACTTTGAGGCTCCTCGAGGTGATGGATAGGTCAGAGGTGACTAATTTTAGCAATTGTTCCTGTGGGTCAGATTTTGATCATTTTTCAAAAGGGACAATCTGGAAGAAAAACCTAAGACTAATTCGACGTGGAGTAACAGAATATGTAACACTTGGTACTGTGGCTGTAGAAGCGCTGTCCCATACTGAAACAGCTTCCTCTGAGTTTAGATTATTATTGAACTTTTAACAAGTTTTTTTTTTTTTAAATGTATTTAGACTGTTGAGAAAAGTGAGGATATGTAAATCAACTTTACAAAAAGGAAGAGGCAGAGATAAAGATACAAAATTGACACTCTCACAAATAAAGGGGCAAAACAGGGGATCGAATAAATATTGGCAGAAATTCTATTTGAGTCACTCATTTGTCAGTTCTGCACACATAATTAATTTAAAAAAAATCCTGCACCAAGGAAATATGTTTTTTCTTTTTCTTTTATTGTCCTTGTTCAAAGGCAATTTCTACTAGATATCTTGATAATGTATTTATTTCCAGGATAATTTGTTTTCAAATGATTCTGTAGAGTTGCCATTAATTACAGGGATATGCCATACGACTGAGAGCTTCCCTGTCAGTGAATGACAGGGAAGACCATGACAGGAGCGCAGTACAACACAACAAAATATGAAAAAGCCTGACAAGATGTATTATTTTCTTGTGTTTGACTTTCAGCTGCACTCCAACATGGACAAAGGCGATGGTACTGTGAAGTACATCCTGGCCGGAGACGGGGCAGGAACCCTGTTTTTGATTGATGAGAAGTCTGGGGATATCCATGCCACTAAGAGACTGGATAGGGAGGAGAAAGCAATGTATACGCTTCATGCCAAGGTAGTAGATAGGAACACCAATGCTGAGCTGGAACCTGACACCGAATTCAACATAAAAATCCATGACATCAATGACAATGAGCCAAAGTTTGCAAAGGAAATCTACTTTGCCAGTGTTCCTGAAATGTCTGAAGTTGGTGAGTTATGGCTTCTGTTTTTATCTTAAAACTCTATATAACCATATCGGCTGTGATTAATCCACACATTTGAACTCTTCAGATGTGTTGTCACTGTGTTTTCTTATTGTTTCATATATTGTGCATGAGATACAAAACATCATAACAAAATAAAAAGCACAATCAGGCCAAAAATCAAAGTACATCCCAACAAAACACATTTTACAAAACACACCTAACTGTGAGAACAGTACTATGAAAGAGACGTATGAAAGATTGCATTCAGTGGAATAGGCTTTTGTATATGCTTTGTAAAGAGTTGTTCTTCTATAAAGTTTTGTTTTCTGTTTTGGTGCCTTTTCTGCCTTTTGTTAGTATGTTTGCTCCGAAAGTATCTTTCTTTTTTCTTCTTTTAATCCACTTGTAGTGGTTATTATTTTTAATTCGACAATATGTTTTTTCCAAAGTTCTTTGTGCCAACATCATTTTGTAATTATAAACATGTCTATTTTTTCTTTTGTCCAATATTATTTTTTTTTTTTATAATTGGACAATAACATCTTCCTTAAAAACTGTTTCCACACCAGCTTTAATCATTTTTAGCATTTGATCATCGTTTTATTTGAGTGATTAAGAAATGTTTCATACATTTGACTTGAGAAAAAAAGGAAATGGGGGAATATACAGTCCTAATTCATGTATTTTAATAACTGATATGACAACATAAGAAAGTGTCAAAACTTGAATATAAAATAAATGGAAACCAATATGCTATGAGCCACACTCGCCTAATGTGATGCTGCGCTTATAAAGCTATTTGCTGTTTCATGATGTTGATGTTTGCTATTTGTTTGGTCAGGCTCATTGGTCATTCATAGGACATAAAGTAATTTGCCATTTTTAATATGCAGAAGAAATATTGAAAGTTTAGATTGTCATAGTCTTTCCAATTAAGTATTTGCTTCATTGCACTTCGCTTCATTCCATTCAAGTAATATAAATAAATTGGTTGGCATAAATAAGAACAAAGCTTATGGAAATAATGCCGGCAAGTTGAAATCAATCCTCAATTATGCGACCACAAATTAATACACAGGAGCAATCGAGGGTAAATCGAAACCCAATTGCCTATATGACAAATAACAATACTTAATTTGGAATTCATAGTGGTGTCCTTAGATTTTCAAGCTGCATGGACTCTATAAAGAGGTGGGTCAGGGTCACTACTGCTCATCTCTGGACTAATAAAGTACCTCACATGTTCAAACTGAGCCCATTGCTTTATCAAGTCAGCCAACCATTAAAATTGCCCCTAACACCCCCCCCCTCTTATATTATCAGAGCTAGGACTAAGTAGGACAGATGTTCAAGGGTTCATTAGCATGCACAGAGACAGTCAGACCCAAACAGGACATGGCAGAGGTCTCCTGAATGCCAAGGACAGTAGTTCCGATGTGGCATTACTGGAAAGCTTTCCTGGATAAAGCTTGATGTTGGAAGGATTCCAATGACAGGGTATCTGAGTGGAACTGAGCTCTTTCTGAAGCTGATTTATCAAATAGGTTTTTTTTTTTTCATACATAAATGATAAATCCTCTAGAGCTATCATATCAAGGGATCTGTATTATGTGTAACTGCATTACATGTAACACATGTATCGCTATCTCTCAGAGGTGACCCTATTTCGTACAGGGATCAAACATTAAAAAAAGAGTATAAAAAAAGCTTTGTGTCTACGGCAGCACTCATTAAAGGCATTAAATTCATTTAATGATATATCACATCTTATATTTAAAATGGGGAAGATGAAATATGAAATGTAAAATAAAATATAAAAATATGTAAAAATGGAGAAGATCTCATCAATGTCAGTTTTACTTTGTTTAAAGGTCTAAAGAACTCTACACAACCTTTGTAAATAAACAAAGGCTGTTTTATGCATTAACATTACTTTGTGGCTATGACAGATGGCTGATCTGTCAGTTGAACCGGAGCAGAAAAACAACATATTTAATCAAAGCAAAATCTTTCACTGACGGCCAAAATAAACCGAGCTACAGTCTACAAGAGCATAAATTTTGTATATATATATATATTTATATTTTAGCCTTGCATAGCTGCTTCCTCAGCATTGCATGCTTTTTAAGGTCAGCTCATTTGATTTACTCCAGCAGCCTCAGGTTTGACATGAAAGTTTGAGATTAGTCACTGGCTACTGGTTAAAAACATGAGTAATGTCAGAGCAGTGCTGGTTTTAAAGGCTGTCTGTTTGAGCTACTGCATGGCTGAAAAACATTCGCCAACCCATGCAGATTGAGCATAAACAAAAATATGTTGACTGAGATTCTTCGCGACTTGGGCTCTGTATCACAGTCAATTAAAGTTGGCTTTGCATGTTTCTCTGTCGCAGGTACGTCTGTCGTCACGGTAACTGCCACTGATGCCGATGATCAAACGTATGGGAACAGCGCCAAACTTGTTTATAGCATTCTACAGGGACAACCTTATTTCTCTGTGGACTCTGAAAATGGTAAGCCAGACTCAGCAGGATCTCCTGGATGCAGCTTTTAATGTTATGCAAACGGATCTGTGAAGGAATTCACCCCAGTCTCAGTGACTTTAAACATAATTAGCTCAGCATCATTTCATTCAAAGAACTCATCAATTAGATGTTTTTGTAAATGTAAAATGATGTTGTTTTCGTTTCAGTGAAAAAAAAAATCTACATCTGAAATCTGAAAGTAAAATTAGAGTTTGACTTTTTCTGTGATGCTAAAACGTGTCAAAAATGTCACTAGACAGCCACTTGTCACTTGGAGTTGAGAGCTCTTCAAACCTTAACTAATCCAACTAAATATGCAGTTCCTTAAATCCTTAAATCCTTACTTTTATTTACTTCTACCGTACCAAACACAGCACATTTGATAAATCTCAACCACCATGCACTCCAGTTGTCCCTCTACTCGCACTGAATACCAAAAGGGAAGACACGAGTAAACTATAAAAAATAAATCCAGTCAACAATTAGGTGTCTTTGAAAGCCCAATTTTGTAGCAACATGATATTGAATGTGTGCAGTCTTTAAGGAGGTGTAGCTGAGCATGAAGACAGAATTGATCCCTATCTTGCCTAATTTCCAATGGGATGTAGAGGAAACAACTCAAAGATGTTTTTTTTTTTTGTTCCAGTTAAAGTGTTGGAAATGCTGTTTTGTTTCAGGCACCATTAAAACAGCTCTGCCAGGCATGGACAGAGAAGTAAAGGAAAACTACCAGGTGGTGATACAGGCTAAAGACATGGCAGGACAGATGGGGGGACTGTCAGGGACCACAACAATCAGCATCACCCTTTCCGATGTTAATGACAGCCCACCACGCTTCGCTAACCGTAAGAGGCCATTTATCGCCACAAGTCTGATTTGTAACAATTTTCTGTTTCAGGCTAAAGATGATCAATACTGTCTGGGAGACAATACTGTCTGGGAGACAAACCTATCACAAGTGCTGATTATACAGCATGTTTAAAAGACTCAGTTTGAAAGACTCCTTCTCTGTCATGTTTAGATTCCTTCCGTGTGACTGCAGTGGAGTCAACAGAGATCGGTGGAGCTATTGGCAGAATTAAGGCTGATGATCCAGATGTGGGCCGAAATGCTGAGATGGAATACAGCATAGTTGGTGGTCATGATACATTCAATATCATTACTGATCAAACCACACAAGAGGGAGTCATAATAATCAAAAAGGTATGCCGTCCTCATTCCCTCAAACTTTGCTTTACAGCCTCATTTGATGTTAGTGTGTTTGTAGTCTGCAGTCAGCACACAACATGACTTCAGCTGGCATTCATGTAACTAGTGACTGATAATGGCTGTGAAATCAGACACCACACTTGGAGTGATATGTTTAGAAATAACAGTAATTAACAGTCCTCAAGAGCTCCACAATAACACCCAATAAACAAATGATAAAAAAAACAGCATTTACAGCAATCTTTACAATATATGTGTGTTTCACCTTCTCCGTTTCCCCTCACTGGCTTTAATATTTCTAACTAACAGTGTTTAATATTCAGAATTTGAGTAAATAGTCTGGTTGAGATTCCACCCAAAAGTCTTGCATATTTCGGTTTACATCAGTCTTAAACTTTTCTTTGATCTTGATGACTGAAACATCTACTCCAACTGTAATACATCACATTTAATCCAAGGAGGAAGACAGAACACAGTTCCAGATCAGAAAATGTCCACGGAAAAACATTTATTCATGTAGGAAAGATAGGGTAGAATTTATTTTTGAACTGCAGTGTAAAATCTGATACCATAAGCCTGACAGTAATATAAAATAATCTTAGGCAGAAACTCTTTTGAGTGTTCCTCTAAGATCTTTCTGATCAGTACTCCTGACTTGAATTTCTACTCTAAATTTAAAGAATGAATGAGATAATGGCAGACAAATGAAACTGCGTATCACAATCCTGGAGGCGGACTGTTTTTTTTATAGAGAAGTCTACAGCTTTCCCTCTGATGCTCTTTCATCTCTAGGCACTGGATTATGAAAGTAAAAGGGACTACGAGTTCAGAGTGGAGGTGAAAAACACCTACTTAGATGCAAGGTTTATCCACGGTTTGCAATTCAAAGACTACGCCACAGTCAAGGTAACAATAGAGGATGTGGATGAGCCGCCTTCTTTTACCAGGAACCCTTACATCATCGAGGTGCACGAGGACACGGCTGCTGGCAGCTTCGTCGGCGTGGTGTCAGCCAGGGATCCCGACGCAGAAAACAAGCCAGTCAAGTACGTTAAGAAACACAGCGAGACTTTTTTAAGCATTCTAACTGTGCCAGTCCTGCCTTTTTCACACAAAGTTTAATTCAGTTTGGAATGAATAAATCGCTATAAAGTAAATCAATAGACTTTAACATAAAGATTTCCTCAACAATAGAGTGGGTCTTATGCTTCATTCCAGTTATGCGATTGTTTCAAAAGTCATTTTCCCAGCTTTAATGAACAATTTTAAAATCAATAGCAAAACAAAAAAAAACCGATGGCTGAAACACAGTGTCTCCTTTTATCAATTTTATAGAGTGATGATGAAAATGTGCCCACACAGTTTAATCTAATCCATAAGTGCAGCCATGTGTCAATGTGGAAGAGGGAAGAAAAGCATATTATTCACATGTCCCTACTGGTGATTTCCCTGCGGAAGATGGCAGCAGCCCTGTGAAGTGAATACAGACACTGTTTATTTCCCAGAATTATGTAAGCCCTCTGTGGCCCCTGCACAAAGTCAAAGAGTCTAATTTGCTATATCGATTCAGAGAGCGCAGAGCCGCCTTCCACACATATGGCGCCTGTCCGTCCCCGACACGGGGACACGCCACTCTCAGCCCATGCCGCATGTCGTTTTATGTTGCATATTCAAATTTCAGCTGAGTGTGAGAGGCGACGATGACAAATGATCAGGCTCTAGAAAAAGACGCATCATCCTTTGAGAGTGGAGAAGAATAGACAGAATAAATGTCTTTTAGGAACAATGACGGCTGCACACTGCATAAATCATTTTGGTTGCCCGCCCCCGCCTTTTTTCTTTTTCATTTTACTAAGCAAACTGTTTGCTTTTCACTGGGTCATATGAACTGAAAGTGAAATGGTATTAATGATAACCTGCATCTTTCTTGCAGATATTCCATTGATCGACACACAGATCTTGAGAGGCTGTTTAACATCGATTCTGTAAATGGAACAATCACAACTTTGAAGGCACTGGATAGAGAATTGTCCAAATGGCACAACATCTCTGTGGTGGCCACTGAAATGAGTAATACAGTATTAACTTTTTTCAAGAAGTTTTCTTTGTAGTCACCATTTATATGACTATATATGTATTTATTTATTTTAGATTTCATCCCTCTGTGACAACTTTAATTATGTTATTATTTGTTTTAGATAATCCGCGACAGACAACCCGGGTGCCCGTGTTCATCAAGGTGTTGGATGTCAATGACAATGCCCCTGAGTTTGCCTCATCCTATGACACATTTGTATGTGAAAACGTCAAAGCAGGACAGGTGCGTGATCGGCCTAACAACATGAATACACAAAATAAGTTTAATGGGCAGTTATTTATACCTAAGGCCAGATTTAATGACAACCATTTATTTACTTTGCACAGAAATTTGCTGATCTGTTTGTTTTTTGGGATATACAGCTTCATCATCTTAGCAGTGAAATTATTAATGTATTCGTAGTGTGATCTTGCATGGATGAAAGGCTGCGATAGCAAAGTTATGAGAGCAAATAGCATAGTGTAACTGTCTGTTTTCTGGATTTACACACTTCCCAACTAGGAAAAGAAAAAAAAAAAAACAATCTTTGATAGCTTTCTTGAGCTTTATTCCTGTAATTGTTTGTTTTTCTTTGCAGCTGATTCAGACAATAAGTGCCATTGACACAGATGAGCCCCTTGTTGGACACAAGTTTGTCTTTAGTATAAGCGCCACCAACCCAAATTTCACCATTGTTGACAAGGAAGGTAAGATACACCATATGAGCTCTGGTAGAGATCCGGTGCATGGCAGATTTCTGCATTAGACTGCATTAATTTTAAAATAACAGAACAATGTCATAATGTCATACCTTCAGCCTGAGAAATTCACTGATGGTTCTACAGAGTTGCAGCAACAGGTTAGAACAACCAGTAATGCTTTGGAGTCAACATAAACTGTAGTTGAATGCAGTGCTGATTGTGACCGAAACAAAAAAAAAAGGAAGCAATTGTAAAAATGTGCAACTGACACGGGTTATTAACCACAGAATTAGTTGGTTTTAATCACCGTTTAGGTCAGCCAATAACATCAAATGATCCTGCAGAGTTACTATACACCATCTGTTACAATACAACACAGGAAAGAGACTGTAATTGTGTCAAATAAGATCTTCTCTGCTAAGTGAACCGTCACATCTTAAGCGTTGCCCATCTTTATCTCTCCCCAGATAACACTGCCAATATCCTGACGCGAAGGGGGGGTTTCAGTCGGCGCGAGATGAGCATGTACTTCCTGCCTGTCGTGATATCCGACAACGACTACCCCATTCAGAGCAGCACCAGTACGCTGATTGTGCGCGTGTGTGCCTGTGACAGCCGCGGAAACATGCAGTCGTGCAGCCCTGAGGTCCTGCCATTCTCAGATGGTCTCACAACTGGAGCTCTGGTGGCCATACTGCTCTGTGTCATCATTCTCCTCAGTAAGTCTCTGCATGTGTGTGCATGCTTGGGAACACACATTATCTTGCTTTGGTAAAATCTGTTGTCGTTCTTGTAATGTTTGCTCCTCTCATTATCCACTGTAACATATTAAGAAAGCTTCTTGGAAAATGTTGCGGGTGAACAAAAGCTTGACCCTTACGAAGGAGTCCCATTGTCAAACTTTGAGTAAATGTGGCTTTTCTGTGTTCTGTGTCTGTGCTGTGGGAGTCATAAAAATACTTTGTTTCAGTCTTGTTGTAACTGAACTATAAGAAAAAGTCGTGGGGGCTTATAACTAACTATTGAGCCATAATAGCTATAACAAGCAAAAACAACAACTTTGGATGCCTGTGATGAGGTGTAATTTCCCTTTGAATTAATTGCACAAAACAGTAATGGGCTCTGTAAAAGAAAATAATCAATAGAGATGGCATAGACATGGCATTGAATAATTACCTTCCTTGCTTTTCATTTTGGCCCATTATGAAAAATATTATAAAAAATCCCCTTCAAGATATACATGAGTCAGTGTCTATACTATGATTATTATTATAGGATGTGAATAAGAAATTAGCTGGGTTTTTTTTTTGTTTTTTTTTTGTTATATAAAGAAACAAACCGTGGCACGTCTCATGAAGATTTTCCAAACAGAGCACACAGACACATAATTATTAGTCGTGCACATCTTCCCTCCATTACTATCACTGTTACTATTATACATGCAGTTCTTTTAGTAATGTAGTAATGAACTTAATTTCTAAACAAGTTGTAGGGTAAGAGATATTTAAAAGAATTGCAAAAAACTGTAATGGTCACTGCCAGACCATTGAGGATTGGTGTGGTATAATTCATAAAAAAATAAGATAAATTAACTCTCCAGGCTGGTCTGCAGCCTAAGGTGCAAAAGTCAATAACATGGACCGTGACTCAGTTGCTCAAATGCATGCAGCTGAGTACTTACACGAGGAGAAATTGGAGGGGGGAAAAAGGCCCGGCCATGTTATTACAAAGTCTAACACAACAAAAAAGGCATTGAATAACATCTCGGACTCCCATCTTCCCGCAGTCAAGAAAAAGATGTGACAAGCAATGTCATTCTGCCAGTTGTTCCACCTTTGGTGATCAACAGCTTGGCATCTCAGTGTATCAAAAACAATAATTATCACAATATTAAGCATGTGAATGCTAACAGATGTCACTCTTACAGTGTGTGTGTCTCCAAATGCAGACACTAAGTGGTTTAAGAGTGAATCACAGGTCATGACTACTTTGGAAATCTGTGGAAAAAGCTTTAAAAAAAACGCCACTCGATCATTTTAGCAGAGAACTGTGGTGTTTCATTAGATGAAAAGTACAAGCCAAACTCCATCTTTATTTAGATGAAAATGTAAATATATGTTCTGTGCCATCCCTGCCGTTTGGATTTTTAGGAGCTAAGCTGTTTCATTGCAGTTAGGTGGTGATTTTGTATGAGAGATAATATTTTGCTTTTAAGATATTGATTTGGGAACTTTGGTCCTGTTAACATCTTGAAACAGGTGAAGTGCACTTTTTCCGGACAAGTATCTGACAACTCAATTATTGCACTGGCAGGAATTCAAAGCTTTGTGTCCTCATCTTAACTCCTAAGCTGATGACATGTCAGCATATATCTTGCTGCAATGTAACAATCGCCACAAGCATGATGCCAATGTCCCTGGGGCTGCTATGTAAATCTGACACCGACCGATATGAAAATTATTAGCTGGTAATGACTGATCGAGCGTAAAACTGCACATTGGTCGACTGATTGGTGTTTCACTTCCAACATGTCAAAACTAGACGTTAAAATGTTCCATTGCCTTCAAAAATTATATTTGATAAATGGGTCAACTTCATGGTTACACTTAAAAGTTACTCCTTGGACTTTGAAAAATACTTGATTTAGAGGAAGAAAAAACAATAGATAATCTCCGTCTCATTTGACCCAGTCTTGCTGTGTCACATCCCCGCTGCCTCATAATACGGCCATGTTGCAGCTCAAAAAATCCTTGTAGATATCGAGAGGCATGCAGCTCTCTGTAGGACTGTGTTTATAGTGCATGCCCTTCTCATCTCTGACAGAAGTTGCATCAACTTGCCCCCTGAGGATTATCCAGAAAGAAAGCTGGACATGAAAGCAGCCGAAAGAAGGCAATAATCTTCACCAAATTTGAGCAAAAAAAAACAACAACAAAAAAAACCCTGATAGTGTGATACACAAAACCTTCAAAAGAAATGGCTCACCACATGGTTAATCAAAAGGAGGCTAAGTGAACATAAGAAAGAACTACGGTTTTAAGTGGGACTTAGATTTAGTTCAGAGAATTTGAGAATGCGTCTTAATGGGGCCAAGCCAACATCAAATCGGAATGGGTATATGATTTATATTTTGTAAGGATGCAAAGATCAACTCTTTGGAAGTGGAACCCAATTCTTCTTCCAACCGGTTGACTGATTTTTTCTCTGCAGATCTGACAGAATCTGAGCGAAACTTCTCATCTTCGTGGTTAGTTGCGGAGAAGCTGCTCACTCCGCATGCAGCGCTCTAAGTAATGGTGCATGCCGGGTGAGCTGAGTCTGCACACCCGGCACACCTCTTTAAACAGGAGATCAGCCAGCCCACCTGCTGGATGATACATGCAGATTTAGCAAAGAATGCAGCACGCAAATCACAAGTTTGATGATGAACTCCAACACACTTTATAGTAAACTGTCATACTTCATTTGGATGCTATAAGATCTGAACTACTTAATGCCAACAAGCCTCTTATAATAGTTGTATTTTTCCCAACAATTACTTTGTTGGAACCCTGCATGGTTTTATTAATTATGGCATGCACTTTGTTTTCTGGTGTGGATGCGAGTGACAGCTTTGATGACATAACACTGTTGAGCTCCACTAAACTTTCTAAATTGGCTTTATTTCTCCGACATTAAGTGCCAGAATGTTGACAGAATTGTTCACCGGCTGGATTCATTGATGCGTATCAAAGACAGAAATGAAAAGTTATCATCAAAATCAAACCCATTAACTCCAAGACGTAAAATTGGTTGTGATTTGTGCTGGAATTTTTTGCTTCTTTTCCCAAACTAAAATTGCACGTTAGTCTGTATACAGGAAAGATGGATTCTCATGTCGAGAGCAGTGAGCATCTGGATTAAAAAACAAACGTATCACCTGAACAGCACATGTTATTAGGATCCATTTACCCTTTTAACATGCTGAAGTGGCGTAGCCATGCCAGGATCTGATGCAGGATGTAATAGCATCCAGGGGGAAACAGCTACAGAGCCTATCATTTGTCTCAGCAAAATGTATGAACACATCAACGTAATGGTCAAGGGCATTTCAATAAGGAATGGTTTTCACCCATCACTGAGTCTGAGCTTGCTTGGCCAAGCATAATGCTTGACAGGATCATTTTAAGCCTAATAAATATCGTGGAAGTAAAATTGCATGCTCAAGTAAGTAAAAAAACAACCTCTGATTGGCTCACCCCTCTGTTTGTTTGTTTTTCCCCTATTTCCAGCTATTATATCACTTTGGTGCTTTGTGTTTTATTTCATGACTTAACCACTCACACAACCAATTTAGTAAAGACAAGCTTTTCCCATCTGCCTGCTTTAATTCCAAAATATACAATTCTGTATCTGGCAGTGGGAATATCTCCACTAACATACGAAGTGAACTGAAGGTCAAACTTCACGCTCTCCTCTTGAGCAAAATATCATGACATCTGCTCATTATCTGACGCTTTTCATGCTTTATCCCCCCTGACAGACTGTCTCATTCACCTCTGTTTGACTCCGATAGGCAGGCCCTGAGCTGGAACAGCTCGCAATATCTGGTCCTCCTCACTACGCTCCTCTATGCTATCCTTAACCCAGCAATGGTCAGTTAGAAACCCTCTCCAATCCATGTTGAAAACCAATGCAATTAATGTCCAGATTGGAGGCAGGTCGACAGCTTCTGTGCCGGCTTTGAGAATGAGAAACAACAAGAGCTGTGCAAGTAGAGGATCACAGCTGAAGCCCCATGTGTGTCTGTTCCAAAGAGTTAGAGATTGCTTCCCCTTTTACATAAAAAAAAATCATGTGTTTATTCAAAAACATGCAACTACATAGAGTCACTCTGAGAAAATGCTGCAATCTATGACTGTGTTTTACCCCTGAGATGAGCGACAAACATGCTTGTTAAAGAGAATGAAAAGGGATCCACCAGCCACTATGCATTTTATGTAGTGAGTGTGCCATTCAGGAGAAAATGGGAGCAAAAAGCTTTTTCACTGAATCTTTAATAATAGAAGGTGAATGCCTGAGGCAGAATTAGGGGTTTTTCACTGGTAGCAAATGTGTCTCCCGTCTGCGCCTTTGCTCCCTCTCCCCTAATGCATGACACATGTTAGGAAGCACACATCTTACGCTGCACTCTCCGTCTCTGCCTTTCCCCACTGTTTTTGTGCAGTGATCGTGGTGCTGTTTGCTGCCCTGAAGAGACAGAGGAAGAAGGAGCCTCTGATCATCTCCAAAGAGGATGTCAGAGACAACGTTGTCAGTTACAACGATGAAGGGGGAGGAGAGGAGGACACTCAGGCCTTTGATATCGGCACTCTGCGCAACCCAGAGGTGATGGATGCTAACAAGCTGCGAAGGGACATCATTCCCGAAATGCTGTTTCCTTTTCGGAGGACATCGCCTATTAAGGATAACACAGATGTGAGAGACTTCATAAATGGGAGGCTTCAGGAGAACGACTCAGACCCCACGGCGCCCCCTTATGATTCTCTTGCTACATATGCTTATGAGGGCAGTGGTTCATTGGCAGAATCTCTGAGTTCCCTGGAGTCTGCTGCCACCGAGGGGGACCAGGATTTTGATTACCTCAGCAACTGGGGACCGCAATTCAAAAAATTGGCAGAAATGTACATAGGAAGGAGCCCTGACCGAGAGACCTAGAAAAAGCCACGAGTCTCTCTTTTATCAAACTATTTCTAATGTCTGTCTATCTAGCTAGCTAGTAAGACAGCTACTTGTCTAGTTGGGTAGCTCGCCAGCAAGTCAACTGTCTGCCTACCTGTCTATTACGCTATCTGTTTGTCTAGTTTGCTAGCTAGCTCGCTAGTTAACTGGTTGTCTATTTGACTCACATACCCGTGTGTATGGACACACAAGCACAGACACTTAGACAAAAGTCATTGCAGTCCACACGTGGAACCTGAAATGGAGACTAAGACTTAAACTGAGCTGTTTATTTTTTTTCTTCTTTACATTAATGAAGTTGCGATAGAATCTCGACGTTTTGCTGTCTTTGGTCATAATCAGTAAAGATGCCTTTACATTTTAGGACTTTTTGTGAACAATGCTGTGGAAAATGTGTTTTGTAATCAACTTGAGAGATAGTAGTATTGTATACTATCAATGTTCAGTGGTATCGACTTGGTTTGGGTGGGGAAAGGGAAGGAGTCAAGCGGCTTTTCAAGCCAGTACCATTAAATACTGTAAATGTAAAAAGTGTTTTTAATTATGGATATCCTATATACTATTTGCTATCTTTGTTTGACGAGCAATGTTCATGTGAATGGTTGGTGCAGATTACTTGTCAAACTGTGAATTCATTTTATCATATAGGTGTAACATATATTTGAGAGTGTATGTTGTAGGGAACTGTCACACACTGATTTCATGCTGTTTGAATGCCGAGTCATACTGTTTTATATTTATATTTTTGTACTTATTTTCTTAATAAAATTCTGTAAAAAAAACAAACTAAAAAACTACTGAACACTACATACATTATTAGTTAATACCAAATGCACTTCAAGTATTTTGAAGCCTCATTTGAAAAGATTTGTACAATATTCCAACAAAACATGTTAGAATTTACATGTGCCTGCAAAATCAAGATTACACATATAATCGGTTGGTCTGTGTAAAACAGTCTTAAGATGTTAACAACTCAAATATCTAGATTTTGAAAGTCCTCTTTGCTAGTAATTGGTTTTGTTTAATTCAGCCATTGGTTCTGCTCAGTGGTTGCTGTGTTTCACAGTACTTCTGTCTGCAAGTTTGATTTGACACCACGATCAAGGAAAACGAGGATGAGCGAATTTAAAGGTGAAAAATGGAAAGATGAAACCTTGTACCTTTAGGGAAAATTTCAAGCAAAGAAAAAGCTTAAATATGTTGTACTGGTATGGGAATTAGATGAGTCCTTTTGCTATTTTCTATTGACATAGGACCATTATCAGAATGCTAATGTTTCCATCTGCTGATGAAGCAGAGGCCTTGTGTGTGAAATACCATAATCAATTATCGAATATAAAAGAAAAAAAAAACATTATTTTTCAATTGACCTTTAAATTATTATTGAGAATAATCTATTCAAATTTGAATGCGCGATTAATCCTGTTAATAAGAACGTCTTAAGTTTAATTGCCTTTAAGAGTACCTCCATCTCCATTTACCAAGTCTGTGGGAGTGGAGCTTTTGTATTCTCTGTTTGTCATTTTCTTTCCCGGTTTTCTTTTTTCTCATATTTTTAAGCCATTCCAGCAAGGAAGTTTTCCACAGCAATAAGTACTGCGTACCCTGAATCATTACACTATCTTCCACCATAACTGAATGACAAATGAGGAGTTCTGAGTTTACTGAAGAGATCTGCTGCTGCTGCAATGATAAAAGAGAAACTACCATCACAATTGGAAAATATTAACATTTAAATCTTTTCAAAACACAAATGTTTCAATACTCTCTGGAAAGTTGGTCTGTTTTTTTCATGTGCTCTGAAGATAAAAAAATATCTTTGACTTCAAGTATGTGCCAGTTTTTAAGAGTAAAAACTCCATAATAAAACCTTAAAGAACTGAGTAGTGATTAGTTTCACCTGGACAAACTGAAGCTTACAAAAAAATGCAAAACCATGAATGTATTCCTTTTATTATTATTTTTATATATTATTTTCTTGCTATATTTCCAACAGGGGTGGTGTGGTATTTAGCACCATCGCCTCACAGCAAGAGGGTTGTGGGTTCGAGTCCCAGGAGAACCAGGACCTTTCTGTGTGGAGTTTGCATGGTCTCCCTGTGTCTGCGTAGCTTCTTTCCAGGTTCTGCGGCTTCCTCTTACCTTCCAATAACCTGCATGTTAAGTTCATTGGACATTCCAAATTGCCCTTGGGAGTGAGTGTGCATGGTTGTTTGTCCTTGCGTGTCTCTGTGTGGCCCTCTGATGGACTGGCAGACCGTCCAGGGTGTACCCTGCCTCTCGCCCATTGACAACTGGGATAGGCTCCAGTCCCCCTGCGACCCCATTAGGGAATAAGGGGTTACGATAATGGATGGATGGATGGATGGATATTTTCAACAGCAGAAAAAGAAATCTCTAACTGAGCTTGTGGGCTGAAGGGTTCCATGTTTGCTTATACAAAAGGAGCATGTTATGTTTTGTGCTGTGGTCACAATTAAAGTGAAATTGAGAACAAAGCAGGCTAGAAATAGAAAGAGCAATGTCTCGTCAAACACATGACAGAACCCCAGGAATCCAAGTGCCAGTTTGTGACATGACGGCTCTATTTAAAAATGGCTAATTTTTATACAGTCCATGTTGCTTTCTCAGCCTCATGAAAATAAATGATGAAATAAAACAAAACAATCTGAATAAGGAACTCCCCTCGCTAATGCCTGGTTGAAAGCATAATCAATTACTTAAAAAATTTAGCATCAGACCCATCTGTTTGAGATGTGTGTTTGTATTTTAAAGCCAGAAATGGGTAGGTGTGAGTGTGCTGTATTTAAATACAGTGACTGCTCAGATATTTGGTGAACTAAATACTAAAAATCTTTGGAGCCTCATTAGTTCAAGCTATGTCTATGATGTGGCAAACTCTTTGTAACTCCATATCAGACAACTGTTATTTTCTCCCCTGCTGCCTTTACTTCGCATAAGCTACCACAATGCATAACATGTCAACTCCATTTATTTTAAGATCAGCATGTTTGTGTATCATAACAGCTGGCTCTTTAATAACCCTGATTTGGGATGTGATGGTGATCTGATATTGGTGAAATTATTCCTATTAGTCAGACATTAAATGTCATTCAGATTCAACATTACTCAGGATATAGGACAGAGGCACCATATGAAAGGGACATTAACATTTGTCTCACAACTTTTAATGAAAAACATGTCAGAGAAGTCTATTCTACATCCAGTGGGATGAATTCAAAGAAATGTTCTTTACTTGACCTGCAATGCAGAATTTCATGTGCCCAGCCAGAAGTCATTAGTCTTTCATCTTTTCATTAATAGTGCATCACAATTATCTTTCGTGGCTTGCTGCTAATTTGACCAGAGTGACCATAACACATAACACTCCCCACTGGAGTTCTAATGTCTTTCAAGCCAGATAGAGAGAATATTTATATCCAGCCCTATGAGGCTGCATGCTTAGGCAGTGTGGGTGAATATATCTCAGTTGATGTAAGGAAAGTATCATGGATTTCTAATTGACCAAATAGCAAAAGCAGCTCTGCAGCAAATTCCTCACAAAAAAGTATATCAGTTGAAAGTGACAGAAAAGAAAGGGAAGACAAGAATTTCGGGATTTTGTTTCTGTGAATGACATGTTCCAATACGTGACTGCAGCCAAGGCTTCGGGTTATGCTCACACACTGACAGCCCGTCGGGAGCTCTGTGATATTACCCCGTAGCCTGACATGCCAGATGGTTTGTTACACAGAACCACCTGGGAAGTCCCGCGTAGAAACCGTTTGGAAAAGGGCAGGCAATATAAAAAAAAGCTCTGCATGAGTCTGGATCAAGCCTCTGATCTACAAAGTGCTACAAGCAGAGCCAGTCAGTCAATAGGAGAATCCATTGTTGACTTTAAAACCCAGATCCCTCACAAGATATAGTTCTCAGTAAATTAAAACAGCTTTTTTTTTTTCCTAAAGTCTGTCTGTAGACGAAAAAACAAGCAAAAGATGGAGCAACATGGTGCAAATTCTGAACATTTTCATCCGTCAGAGACCATGTCAGTGAAAAATGCATGCTGTGACACTTAGGACACACCCATGAAGGCTTAGTGGGGTCTCTTAGGTACAGTATAAATAACTAACTTAGTCATTAAGTACTTCATGAACCTTTTCATCTTGTTTTTATTTGGAACCATGCAATTGGAGTTATTTTAACTTTTCCAAGACCACAGCTACTCTTGAGGTTGTATAATCAACACCCATAAGATGAAATCATGCCACCAGCGGGTAACATGTCCTCAATTTCAATTCAGCCTGCTCAAGCTAAGCTCCTCCTATGACTCTACCCTGCTTTTTTAAGGTGAATACTGACAAACTGCAGATCCCCAGTTAAAGCCACAATGGCAAGATTGACATTTTCTGGATGGTTTTGTGCCCCCTGCAAGGCTCTCACAAAGCACTCCCTAAGTCATGCTTTAAAATGGATGCTGTTTTTTCATTTTTATTTTATGGGGTTTATTGTGGCTGGAAAAGACTAAGAGACGCAAAGTACTTCAATCAATAATGCAGGTGAAATATTGGTATGCAGACAAGATGTGACAGCGGCAATAGACTGCCTGATGCTTTTTTCCTTGTCCTGCTCCTACCTTTTTTTATGTTTTATTATAGTCCTCTCTCCAACAACATTTCCCAAAACAAGTTACAAGCCGATACCCAAGGCATCCCATTTCTCATATTCCCTGCGCATTAGCCTAATGTGGCTCAAATATAACAAGAAGGTCATTATTTTTCCGGCACGGTCTGATTATATAACTGTTCATCAGGCCACTTGTAAAACCTCAGCCCTCCCCTGACTGCAGATTCTTTCCCGCTGAACGACCTTTAGCACTCAAAATACTAATTTGCGAAGAGAAGTAGAGGTAGAAATCTGTAGCGACATATTAGCTCATTATAAGTTATGAAAAAATCCGACTTATAGACACCATAAGAGGGTAGTTTCCAGCTTATGGTTTGTGGTTTTCAAAGTTTGCTTGTGTCACTATCAAATGCTCAGCATCAGAGAGTAGTAATGGCCTTGTGAGAAGGAATGTGAAACTTAGATGAATCCTGGTTGGTCCTGAATATGATGACACCTGCCTTGTTTTATATTCACAAAATGAAACGTCCACTTCCCACAACAAGCCATTAACAGAGGAAGAATGGAGAAATGGCAGTTCGGTTGAATTCAGCGCTCTTTTGCCAGTAGTTACAGATGTAGGCTGAACATAAAAGAAAACAAGGCTGCCTCTTTCCCTTAGGAGAGTAAAATTACTTCTGAGCACAAGGGAATGCATCAGTGAAATGGCATACCGCCTAGTTTGTCGTAATTACAAGTAAAACAGTTCTGAATAGGCATCTTGATGACCAAACTAATTGTTGCATATTTCCAACCCATCTGGATCATTTTCTTGGGAGGAAATGTGATTGCTGTACTGAAATGGAGAATACTATCTTTGTTGAAGAGAATGAGTGAAATGACATGGGCATTTACTCTTTTTTCACTGCATACAAAACATTATCATGCAGATTCAAGTATAACCATCTTCCGCCAGTTTACGATTATGCCTAAATTAAACCTTTAAAGAGAAGATATCTAGGTTTGTTAAGCACATAGACAATTGTTTACTTTGTTTACAAACCAGAATGTATTCTTTCTCAATAGTTAGTCGCAGAAAACTATTTCATTGGTATTTGTCTCCATCTCCTGGATAACTGAATTCACAACAAGCA